TCCTGCTGGTCTGCTGACCCACCCACACACTGAACTGCCTCTGACCCTCCTCCCAAACTCTAGCACTTTGTCTGACTCCAATTCTCTCCCCTAGTACCTTTCTCCACTTCTTTCCAGGTACCCAATACTTCCCTTCTTGCCCTGTACCACCCCCTTCCCTTCCCCTATAAGACTCCTTCCTTCCCTTCCATCTCCTTTCCATCTCCACCCCACCCAGCACCCTATGAACCCCTAGTCCTCCCACAACTCTTCCTTTGCAACCACTGGACATCTACAGAGGATAAAGACATGATATCGAATCTGTTCTTGTGTACCCTCCTGTTAGTACATCTCTATCATTTCAAAGTGAATGTGAGTAACACTGGGCCTGAATGGGCTAAGCCTCCTTTGCATTGGGCTATTCCACTATGTGGTTCTGATAACAATGCTGTGGGGGTCGTGGCTGGTATCTCAGCCCTCCTTTTTGGCCAAGGTGAGGTCCTCGTGTAGCTCTCCTGACCAGACCACAGAGGCCTAGTTTCAAGTGTCCACATCAAGTTTAGCTTGGTCCCAACACATTAAGATTGACTTTAGAGCATCAAAAAGAAAGACTTTTAAACATAATAAAAGCCATTGAATGGAATGCTTTAGCAGTGGGAATACTGTCATATGTGATTATATGTCAGTAAAGTTATTTTGGAAAATGTAAGAAGAGACTTTGTTTTAACAGGAGTCACATTTGGGGTGCATTTCAAACAGTTTTACATATTGGTATGCTTCCTCCAAAATAATGAAGCATGCCATTATCCCATGGATTAAGATTTCTTTTTTTTTTCTAAAATTGTTCTTCTTTAAAGCTTGCATGTGTCAGAATGTGCTGTTTATTGAATGAGATAGTAACAAAAATAAGTAATTATCTTGATTCACCACCAGAAAAGGTTAATTTTGAATTCTCCCATAGGTAGGAAGTTCTTTTAAATATTGGTATGCTTCCTCCAAAATAACGAAGCATCTCATTAACTAAGATTCCATATTTTTGTCTAAATATGGACTTCTTTTAACCTTACATGTGTCAAAATGTACCGTTTATTGAATGGGATAGTAACAAAAATAAATTATTATTATCTTGATTCTCCTCCAAAAATGGTTGATTATGAATCCTCACATAAGTAGGAAGTTATTTTTCACTTTTGTTTTTATTTTTAATCTGATGATTTCATTATGTGGAATTACTTAACTTTTCTACTCATTGGTTTACTGTCTTAGACATCTTATTAGGAACTGTAGATATTTCATCTTGTTTTTTCATCTTAGTATGTTTTCACACAAGATTTAATTTTCTTTCTCCCTCTTGTAGAAAAATCCTCAAGAAAATAAAGGTAAGAGTTTAGCCTTTTTGATATTTGAAGTCCAATGTGGGTCCTAATCCAAGTGGAAGTATATAGTAAATATCAGCAAATATGTTATGAAAATGAGATAGGTTGGTGGGTTCTTAACTGTGGACAATTTCACTCTTTCTTGTTGAGGTCTAAATGACAACATGGAGGAAATTGCCATCTATTGAGATAAGAGGTCAGGCCAAGAAAGTTTATGGGAGCAAAGAGAAGAAGATCAGTTTAGTTTGCAAAGATGTGGTTAGGAAGCAATAGTGAAGGGAGTCTGTATTTCAGAGGGAAAACTTTGGCCTGACCTCCTCTTGAGAATGGAAAGATGATTAGTTCATACCAGAGGCTATCTAGAAGCTTAAGGCTTAGAAAGTACCCAGATGATGCCAGGCAAGATGTGTGACATAATGGAGGTTAATACTCTCTGTTTGGAGTCTTACATCTAGAGAATCATTAACACCAGGGGAGAATGAGTAGAGATGAACTTGATTCAAAATGGGGGTGATGCATTCTGATTGTTCTTCATAGACTGTGATGATTCAGGGTGCTGTCTGGTGATAGCCAGGGTGGCTGCCTGGCACAGAGTAGGTTCACAGATGCTGAGGTGTGTCCCAGTGACTGCAGCAATGGTGGTGGTCAGAAGATTGACCTCAGGCAGCAGAGCTCTTATGATGGGCAAGTAAAAACTAAGTTTAGACTCCGGCAGATGAGAGATTCCATACCTGGCAGAGAGGTCTAGAATTATGAGCTCTGATTGAAGACATTTTCTGGTGCTACTTACCTGCAAGATGGTGCTTTTTGTATGATGTTCACCTTTATCGTAGTGGCGTTTTCTTCTTTGAGATTAAGAAAAGCTTGGCGAGATTGTGAGTTACCTCGATTTTTTTTAAAAAAATGATCTAGGATGTGTTTTAACACCAGAGAGAAAGAAAAAGGAAGAAAGCAATCCCCTGTGTGTCTTGCTAATATTCATTTCTTCCTTCTTTAGGGATTGT